CCCATTTTGTATGTCTATTTATGTCGCTGGAGACAAGTAAAATCAAACGTAGATCTACGTTCGGAGTGCTACACGAGCGAACATAGATCTAAGTTTGGGACAGTTTAAGGGTTTTAAAATTTATATTGTAGTACGATGCGGGTAAGCAGAAATTATAAGGTTCAAATTAGTCATAATTGGGGAAGAAAAAAGAGTGGTTAAGGATTGAACGTACAAAGTTCCAGGAACAAAAAGAGTGAAATGTTTAGGGCTCAAGAAAGTAAAAAAGGGAAAGAGGCAGTTTGCTTCTCAACAAGCCAAAATTTAAATAGAGTAGAGGTATTTAATTTGGACAGAGTCATAAAATTTGTGCCAAATTTCCTAAAGATGCAGACCAGTTTTTCCTGTTGTTTTGAAAGGATGGTCAGATCCAGATTGGCCGGACAAGAAATGGGTGACATTAGTACGAACCCATTAATTGGTAAAGGGTTACAACCAGTTAGTTCTCTAGAGGAATGGGACTTTTCTGATTATAATAAACTGATGGAGGTAGTTTTACTTGCTTTTTCAGATGTTGCCAGAAAGGTATCAGCACAAGTTTTTGAGGACTAAAGTTTCAGGCAATATGGTTAGAAGTTGTCGCTTATAAACACAGGGTGTCGCTCAAAAGGTGTGGTAGAAAAATTATGAGGGTTTTACTTTCACTAATTTTGCTAGAGGATCTTTGGAAAATGTTCCTCCTGACCTTAAGGTATATCTTGAGGAGAAGGATCTTAATGATTTTAATCATGCTTTACAACTGGGTGATAGATTTTTTTGCTAACCAAAAACTTGATAGTAGTTACCACCAGAACTTATTAATGCATGTAATGGTAAGTTTTCCCCCACCCACCAGTAGGATTAAGAAATTTCAGAAGTTTAAGCTGCATTTTTCAGCCTCATAACCACCAGAGCTTTAATAACCTTAATTCTCCAGTACATGCCCAGGAAAGTTTTAAGTCAGCTGTCACAGGTCCAGGAATACAGGAACATGTAGGAAGGCCCAGTTCCCCAGGGACAAGGGCCCCAGCCTATGCCAAGTGGGCTGGGGGCTTTTTAACCTTATTACTGTACATATTACAATAAACAGGGACACCAGCCATATTACAGAAAATGCTTAGATGCTTGACGATTTTGTGAAAAACAAGAATTACACTGGTTATTTAAGTGTATGTAGTTGTCTAGGGGATAATGGTTCTCTTGAAAGATGCTGTTTTTAGCATCATTGCTTTCAGTTGTAGATGCAGTTCTGAGCCCATTGCAGGAACAGAAACATGTTCTATGTTGACCTTACCTTGGAGGAATTTTATCCAAAGCTAGACAATTTATTTTACGAGGAATTCTGGACATGGCCTCATAAATCTAGAGAAAGTCCCTGCTCATGGCCTTCCTTTCTGGGTTTAGTGATGTTTATGTTAAGGGGGCACGATGGTTGCTGTCCTTTGGTCATACTACAAGGACATAAATGACAGCTCTTTGTCTGAAAAAAAGCCAATAGAAGGAAGCCCACCAGAGTTGTGATGGTTTGTGGGACCCTTTTGAAGCAACAAGTCTGAACGAAGGGGGTTCCAAGCGTTTTCTTGCTTTAAATGATTTGATTTTTTTATCTGTAAATTTTGTGCCCCTATACAATGGAACCTCTGCTTATGAATTTAATTCATTCAGTGACCTTGTTCGTATCCCGACTTGTTTTATGTGCTGGATTAATTTTCCTCATTTAAATTAATTGAAATGCTATTAATTTGTTCCATGGGAATTCTGCCCGTCAGGAGGCATGACAAAATAGTACTTTAGTAGATACTTTGGCTTATTTATTTATCACAATTCATCTAATATGACATAATAAACAATATTAACAACATAGAAACATGATATATACTCTAGAATTAATAAAATAGGCCATAATGTGGCAAGTGATGGCAACGCTGGCAGTGGCAGAAAGCATCCACCATTTACTCTCCCACTCTAGTATCTTCCCAGTCCATAACCCCACACCTAGCTTGTGTTTATCTGTGATTAGTGATGAGGTTGTTACATGTGTAACCACAGGTGTGGTCAAGACAGATGTATATATAGGTGAAGACGTGATCACTGTGGCCACAGTGGTGGTGGCGGCCAGTGGTGGTGGTGGCTTTCAGCTGCCTCACTCTCTGCTACTGCCTCATTTTCTGCTGCTGCCTCACTCTCTGCTACTGCCTCATTTTCTACTGCTGCCTCACTCTATGCTGCTGCCTCACTCTGTTGCTGCTTCACCCTCTGCTGTTGCCTCAGTCTCTGCTGCTGCTTCACTCTCTGCTGCTGCCTCACTCTCTGCTGCTGCCTCACTCTCTACTGCTGCCTCACTCTCTGCTGCTGCCTTACTCTGCTGCTGCTTCACTCTCTGCTGCTGCCTCACTCTGCTGCTGCTTCACTCTGCTGCTGCCTCACTCTCTGCTGCTGCCTCACTCTGCTGCTACTTCACTCTCTGCTGCTGCTTCACTCTCTGCTGCTGCCTCACTCTGCTGCTGCCTCACTCTCTGCTGCTGCTTCACTCTCTGCTGCTGCTCACTCTCTGCTGCTGCCTCACTCTGCTGCTCTCACCTCGCTGCTCTTCACTCTCTGCTGCTGCCTCACTCTGCTGCTGCCTCACTCTGCTGCTGCCTCACTCTCTGCTGCTGCCTCACTCTCTGCTGCTGCTCACTCTCTGCTGCTGCCTCACTCTCTGCTGCTGCCTCACTCTGCTGCTGCCTTCACTCTGCTGCTGCTTCACTCTCTGCTGCTGCCTCACTCTGCTGCTGCCCCACTCTGCTGCTGCCTCACTCTGCTGCTGCCTCAATCTCTGCTGCTGCTCACTCTTCTGCATCTGCTGCCTTTACTCTTGCTGCTGCCAACTCTTTCTGCTGCTTCACTCTCTGCTGCTGCCTCACTCTCTGCTGCTGCCTCACTCTGCTGCTGCTTCACTCTCTGCTGCTGCCTCACTCTGCTGCTGCCTCTCTCTGCTGCTGCCTCAATCTCTGCTGCTGCCTCACTGCTGCTGCCCCACTCTGCTGCTGCCCCACTCTGCTGCTGCCTCACACTGCTGCTGCTTCACTCTCTGCTGCTGCCTCACTCTGCTGCTGCTTCACTCTCTGCTGCTGCCTCACTCTGCTGCTGCTTCACTCTCTGCTGCTGCCTCACTCTGCTGCGGCTTCACTGTCTGCTGCTGCTTCACTCTCTGCTGCTGCCTCATTCTCTGCTGCTGCCTCACTCTGCTGCTGCCTCACTCTGCTGCTGCTTTACTCTCTGCTGCTGCCTCACTCTGCTGCTGCATCACTCTGCCGCTGCCTCATTCTGCTGCTGCTTCACTCTGCTGCTGCCTCACTCTGCTGCTGCTTCACTCTGCTGCTGCTTCACTCTCTGCTGCTGTCTTCTTCATTTCTCTACCTCTTTTTCATAATTTCTAATCACTTCCTGAGCTTCTTGCTGATATTATATGAATACTGTCTCTTCGGGCGAGGCATTGTGTAAGAAATTTGTTAGGTTAAACATAAAATTTTGCATCCCAAGGGTCTGCAGCAGTCACTAAGAGCGACATACATGTACCTTCTTTTCCTTACGACCCTTGGTTGGCACCGAGATAGCCATGGTCTTGCAGTAGCTACAGCCACCCACAGGGTTACCTTGGTTGGCACCGAGATAGCCGTGGTCTCACAGTAGCTACAGCCACCCATAGGGTTCCCTTTGTTGGCATCAATATAGTCGTGGTCTCACAGTAGCTACAGCCACACATAGGGTTACCTTTTGGGTTTGGGACCGAGATAGTCGTGGTCTCACAGTAGCTACAGCCACACATAGGGTTACCTTGGTTGGCACCGAGATAGTCGTGGTCTCACAGTAGCTACAGCCACACATAGGGTTACCTTGGTTGGCACCGAGATAGTCGTGGTCTCACAGTAGCTACAGCCACACATAGGGTTACCTTGGTTGGCACCGAGATAGTCGTGGTCTCACAGTAGCTACAGCCACACATAGGGTTACCTTGGTTGGCACCGAGATAGTCGTGGTCTCACAGTAGCTACAGCCACACATAGGGTTACCAATTTGTATTTTGAAACATTTGGCACCAAAATATGAAAAAAATTACGAAAAATGTCTAAAAATGACAACATATTACTTTTTTTTTTTATCACACTGGCCGATTCCCACCAAGGCAGGGTGGCCCGAAAAAGAAAAACTTTCACCATCATTCACTCCATCACTGTCTTGCCAGAAGGGTGCTTTACACTACAGTTTTTAAACTGCAACATTAACACCCCTCCTTCAGAGTGCCGGCACTGTACTTCCCATCTCCAGGAATTAAGTCCGGCCTGCCGATTTCCCTGAATCCCTTCATAAATGTTACTTAAATGGTTATTTATGTGTTATTTTTTAACATTATTCCATAAAATGTTTAATTCATGTTAAGTAATAAACAAAGATAGACAAAGAACTTTTTTCCTTGGAAGCAAAGAGTGGAATGTATAAAAGTATAGTTTTACCAACACACTTATGTGAGTGTGAAGCATGGGTGATGAATGTTGCAGCGAGGAGAAAAGGGTGGAGGCAGTGGATATGTTATGTCTGAGGGGGAATGTGTGGTGGAATATAATGCAGAGAATTCGTAGTTTGGAAGTTAGGAGGAGGTGCGGGATTGCCAAAACTGTTGTCCAGAGGGCTGAGGAAGGGTTGTTGAGGTGGTTTGGACATGTAGAGAGAATGGAACAAAACAGAATGACTTCAAAGAGTGTATAAATCTGTTGTGGAGGGGAAGGGGGGGTAGGGGTCGGCCTAGGAATGGTATGGGTTGGAGAGAGGGGGGTAAAGGGGGTTTTTGTGCAAGGGGCTTTTCCCGCAAGCATGCATGAGCATATTTGATAGGAGTGAATGGAGATAAATGGTTTTTAATACTTGACGTGCTGTTGGAGTGTGAGCCTCTGCTGAGTGGGAGATAGATGAACACTAACTTTTTCATCCTTGTGTTTCAGAATGTCAGAGTTTGTAGCAGACTGTGCAGAGCGTACATTTGTTCTGGAAATTATTTATCAGCGAGTGATGACTGGGTAAGTGATGACTGATGACTGGGTAAGGGGCACAGAAGCAGTATTGAATGTCTAGCACCATTATAAGAAAATATCAAGATGGTCAGATTTGTAGATATCAATAAGGATTTTTAATAATACAAAATTTTATAAAATACAATGGCAAACAGATGATGTTAACAGTGCAGGATAAGTCACTGTGACATGGCCTGGCACTTTACTTCTGCTTCACCTCAGAGAATTTTTCCCCTACTATCTGTTGCTAGTTTTGCAATATTGCATAGCAAGACTGAAAAATCTTGAGCTAAAGATTTCCATCCCCATGTGGCTTTTTCTGCATAAATTTTTATGAAGTTGTTCAGGGAAACCAGTTAGCTGGACTTGAGTCCTGGAGGTGGAAAGGGCAGTGTCTGCACTCTGGAGGGGTGGAGATGTTGCAGTCAGAGGATACTCTGTAATGTCAACACTTCTGGAAAGATGACAATTGAGTGAATGTTGGTGAATGTGCTTTCTTTGAATCATTGGTGACCCAGGAATAATAGAATGTTTCTGTTTTAAAGTAAAAGGTAAAATATTACAGCATTTTGCAATGTGAACAATATTACAACATGATCACCTTCATGTAAGTAAATTAACCAATTTTAATAAAGAATTATTTACTCTTTCACAGTCTCACTCTGTCGGTCTTTCTTGATAGATTAATGAAGTATAACAAAGCTTTGGTTAATGTAATTTTTCTAACTTTGGTGCAGCAAAATGTTTGTAACTAGCAGTGTTTGTTTACAGATTTCAGCGGTTTCTAGTGAGGTTGGGTTCACCGCTACACTTAGCCCAGGACATTAAGGTTCAACAAGTGTGCTCAACAATAAGTGAGTTTTGCCCTGGAATGCAGGACCTGCCAAGAACGTGTACTACAACAGATTCAGAAGAACGCAAACCACCATGAGAGAAATAAGACTCACGGGAAGATGATCGTAGAGGTATGCATTGACAAATGTTTGTTTAAATTTGAAAAAGTACACATTGTACTTTTTCATACACCAGAGAGAAATAAGATACGACTTCAGTACCAGCCTTGGTATGGGGGTGTTGTGATCTCATATCAGTGACAAATTTCTCCCATTCTATATGGGACACTTGTCCTCACCTTATTATACCCAGTGGGCACATTATTATAGGGGCTCACGAAATCATAGTGACACAATTGCAAACAAACCATACCACAGGTGGGGCTTGTACCCGCAGTCAGAGAGTCATAAAACTCCAGACAGACGCGTTATCCACTGGGCCAGCTGGCACCATTCATCAACTTCATTTTTCCACTTTATGCATGTTTCACATGTTTTGGCAAGAGGTAAGTTACTGAACTCAGGTGAGGGAGTAGGTCTCCCACTCTGCTGGGGCTTTGGTATGGGCTCCATCTGACCTGACTTGGAATATTTTGTTCCTGTTTCTATATGCAAAGGAAAGTCATGTTTCCTTTCCTGTCATTGCCCAACTTTGGGTATTATTTCTTCTCTGTACATCAGGAAGCAGAGCTTGATAAGTGAAAGCTGTGAGTGGCCCTTGTAACCCTCAACAAGAAAAAAACATAAGACTCATGGAAAGACAATCACAGATTGATGCACATTTAAAGCTTAAGATTTAATACAGTCATCAGTAGGGTTGAAGGTGTTTTTGATTACTAGTTCTCAAATTTATTTCTCCACAATCCATTCACATTTTCTTTGCATTGTAAATGATGGAGGTAATTACCTAGCAACTCAGGAAATTGTGGTAGATATATAGAATATCAAACCAAACAATCACTGAATCTCCATCAATTTTACATCGGGTCACAACCCTGGGTTTGGTAGCCCCTGATGTAGACACATTGTAGTGAAATATAGTTGACCTCAATTAACCCTTAAACGGTCCAAACGTATATATACGTTCTTACGCGTAGTGCCCCAAACGTATATTTTTTTTTTTTTTTTTTCAACAAGTCGGCCGTCTTCCACCGAGGCAGGGTGACCCAAAAAAGAAAGAAAATCCCCAAAAAGAAAATACTTTCATCATCATTCAACACTTTCACCACACTCGCACATTATCACTGTTTTTGCAGAGGTGCTCAGAATACAACAGTCTAGAAGCATACACATATAAAGATACACAACATATCCCTCCAAACTGCCAATATCCCAAACCCCTCCTTTAAAGTGCAGGCATTGTACTTCCCATTTCCAGGACTCAAGTCCGGCTATATGAAAATAACCGGTTTCCCTGAATCCCTTCACTAAATATTACCCTGCTCACACTCCAACAGATCGTCAGGTCCCTAAGTACCATTCGTCTCCATTCACTCCTATCTAACACGCTCACGCACGCTTGCTGGGAAATCCAAGCCCCTTGCCCACAAAACTCCTTTACCCCCCTCTCTCCAACCCTTTCGAGGACGACCCCTACCCCGCCTTCCTTCCCCTATAGATTTATATGCTTTCCATGTCATTCTACTTTGATCCATTCTCTCTAAATGACCAAACCACCTCAACAACCCCTCTTCTGCCCTCTGACTAATACTTTTATTAACTCCACACCTTCTCCTAATTTCCACACTCCGAATTTTCTGCATAATATTTCCACCACACATTGCCCTTAAACAGGACATCTCCACTGCCTCCAACCGTCTCCTCGCTGCTGCATTTACCACCCAAGCTTCACACCCATATAAGAGTGTTGGTACTACTATACTTTCATACATTCCCTTCTTTGCCTCCATAGATAACGTTTTTTGACTCCACATATACCTCAACGCACCACTCACCTTTTTTCCCTCATCAATTCTATGATTAACCTCATCCTTCATAAATCCATCCGCCGACACGTCAACTCCCAAGTATCTGAAAACATTCACTTCTTCCATACTCCTCCTCCCCAATTTGATATCCAATTTTTCTTTATCTAAATCATTTGACACCCTCATCACCTTACTCTTTTCTATGTTCACTTTCAACTTTCTACCTTTACACACATTCCCAAACTCATCCACTAACCTTTGCAATTTTTCTTTAGAATCTCCCATAAGCACAGTATCATCAGCAAAAAGTAACTGTGTCAATTCCCATTTTGAATTTGATTCCCCAAAATTTAATCCCACCCCTCTCCCGAACACCCTAGCATTTACTTCCTTTACAACCCCATCTATAAATATATTAAACAACCATGGTGACATTACACATCCCTGTCTAAGACCTACTTTTACCGGGAAGTAGTCTCCCTCTCTTCTACACACCCTAACCTGAGCCTCACTATCCTCATAAAAACTCTTTACAGCATTTAATAACTTACCACCTATTCCATATACTTGCAACATCTGCCACATTGCTCCTCTATCCACTCTATCATATGCCTTTTCTAAATCCATAAATGCAATAAAAACTTCCCTACCTTTATCTAAATACTGTTCACATATATGCTTCAATGTAAACACTTGATCTACACATCCCCTACCCACTCTGAAACCTCCTTGCTCATCCACAATCCTACATTCTGTCTTACCTCTAATTCTTTCAATTATAACCCTACCGTACACTTTTCCTGGTATACTCAGTAGGTAGTAGGTTGGTAGACAGCAACCACCCAGGGAGGTACTACCGTCCTGCCAAGTGAGTGTAAAACGAAAGCCTGTGATTGTTTTACATGATGGTAGGATTGCTGATGTCTTTTGTCTGTCTCATAAATATGCAAGATTACAGGCATGTCTTGCTACTTCTACTTACACTTAGGTCACACTACACATACATGTACACATTTATTTATACACACTCATCTGAGTTTTCTTTGATTTTATCTTAATAGTTCTTGGTCTTATTAATTTTCCTTTTATATCCATGGGGAAGTGGAATAAGAATCTTTCCTCCGTAAGCCATGCGTGTTGTAAAAGTCAACTAAAATGCCGGGAACAATGGGCTAGTAACCCCTTTTCCTGTAAAGATTACTAAAAAGAATAAGAAGAAGAAAATTGTCAAAGTGGGAAGTCTGAATGTGCGTGGATGTTGTGCAGATGATAAGAAAGAGATGATTGTGGATGTTATGAATGAGAAGAAGCTGGATGTCCTGGCTTTAAGTGAAACAAAGCTGAAGGGGGTGGGAGAGTTTCAGTGGAGAGGAATAAATGGGATTAGGTCCAGGGGTTTCAAATAGAGTTAGAGCTAAAGAAGGAGTAGCACTAATGTTGAAGGATAAGCTATGGCAGAAAAGAGGGACTATAAATGTATTAATTCAAGGATTATGTGGAGTAAAATAAAGATTGGATGTGAAAAGTGGGTATAATAAGCGTGTATGCACCTGGAGAAGAGAGAAGTGTAGAGGAGAGAGAGAGATTTTGGGAAATGTTGAGTGAATGTGTGGGGAGTTTTGAATCAAGTGTGAGAGTAATGGTTGTTGGGGATTTCAATGCTAAGTGGGTAAAAATGTTATGGAGGGAGTAGTAGGTAAATTTGGGGTGCCAGGGGTAAATGTAAATGGGGAGCCTTTAATTGATCTATGTGTAGAAAGAAATTTGGTAATAAGTAATACATATTTTATGAAAAAGAGGATAAATAAATATACAAGGTATGATGTAGCACGTTAATGAAAGTAGTTTATTAGATTATGTATTGGTGGATAAAAGGTTGATGGGTAGGCTCCAGGATGTACATGTTTATAGAGGGCAACTGATATATCGGATCATTATTTAGTTGTAGCTACAGTTAGAGTAAGAGGTAGATGGGAAAAGAGGAAGGTGGCAACAACAAGCAAGAGGGAGGTGAAAGTGTATAAACTAAGGGAGGAGGAAGTTCGGGTGAGATATAAGCGACTATTGGCAGAAAGGTGGGCTAGTGCAAAGATGAGTAGTGGGGGGGTTGAAGAGGGTTGGAATAGTTTTAAAAATGCAGTATTAGAATGTGGGGCAGAAGTTTGTGGTTATAGGAGGGTGGGAGCAGGAGGAAAGAGGAGTGATTGGTGGAATGATGAACGTATATATACGTTTTATTTTTCCTGCCTTCAAATTTGGCACAATTGGCCTGAGATGCCTTGTCAGCATAGAATGGGTCCTAACACTCAGTGTGCGTGGTATTAAAAAAATCTGGGATCATTTAGTACCTTGTGGGAGCACCAGTTAAATTGAGCGCCAGCTAGAGCAAACAGCGCAGTAAACACCAAGGATTCACTGATGTAATGTCATATTAACACTCCTCTTTTAAGAGGAAAGTGATGTTAACCCCAAGTTTAGGGTCTGTCTATCTCTGTATCTCTATCTCTATCTCTGTCTTCCTCTATCTATCTGTCTGTCTATCTCTGTCTCTGTCTACCTCTGTGTCTATCTCTGTCTGTCTCTATCTGTCTTTGTCTGTCTCTGTATCTCTTTCAATCTGTCTCTCTATCTCTGTCTCACAGGTACACATAAATACAAGTGGACATAGTGTAAATTACCTAGGATAACCCCAAAAATCCAGACAAAGTGCTATACTCTGCTTGAAGATGGAGTAAAT